GAAAAATTTATTGAAAAATGTATTCCTTAGGAAAAATTCTTATTCAGGTTCCTTTGGATTTTCAAGGATGCTACAACTCCATAGAAATGCTGATATATGTTTACTTCAGTCTTTCAACCATCCCTTCGGTAAGAGATTTACTTCATGAACTTGAAGCAATGAGAAGAAATCCAAGGTACGTTCTGGGTGACACGAAATAATGTGCCCGGGTCGTAAAGCAGGTTCCCCAATATGTAAAAAGTCCATGCTTCTCTTGTTCGATAAAGTAATAAAGTCTGCGTTTGGAAACAAAGAATCATCTATTTTGGTCGATTTGTTTCGAAGTTACAGTATTTTTTTGTTTTCATGACTCCGCTGAGACACGCGTGTTAGCAGCATTGCGTTCATGTTTAAACATGTCTGAAGACGCGTTCAACTCAATGCCGAACAATGCAACTTAAAACCTCATCAGGAATCGCGGAATTCAGTTTTGTGGTGACGATATGTAGCACGGTAACTCGCCTGACCTTAACCCTAAGGAAAATTTTGGTGAAATCATCAAAGACCATGTGGAAGAACGAATGCACCGTGAGCACGGGCGCGGTCATTATTCCGAATCCTCCCTTCTGACCAGTTTCACTGGCGTTCTTTATGAGCTCGAAGAGGACACTAAACTATTTGAAAGTCTTATTTTTTCGATGCCGAATCATATTCTAGCGGTTCTGGCAGCAGATGGAGGTCATAGTGATTGTTGAATTAATGTTTTTTCGTTGTGATTGAATGAAAGAGTAAAAAAAAAACAGGAAAATATTCATACCTTTGCAACGAATCGATCAAATTATAACAAATTTGGTTTCCCAACGCAGATTTCAATTCTCTATCGAACAACAAAAACTAGGACTTCCTATCTCTCCGAGAACCTGCACCACGACCCGAGCACATCATTTCGTGCCACCCATTACATAACTGGAAATAACTCTGTTTACAAGTGGCCATGATACCAAGGAACCTCAAGCGATATGTTTTAGTATAATGTTCGACAATTTCTTTAAGAATGCTACAAAAAATGCTGAAAATACATCGAGGAAGGTCAATGGTATTGTACCACGGGTCTCAGAAGGCTAAAGATGCAGGATTTTTTGGATGTCACCAAGTGGGAACACGAAGAAGAGAGCTCAGCATAAAAAAAAGACGCCATGACGCCTATCACTTTCATGTGGTTTAAATGTCTTTTGAGTAGAGGTTCCTGATTATCGTATTCTCTCACCTGTGGGCATATTGACTCCGGGAGGGGGTGTTCCTGCGTTGTAAAGACGTTTAGGTCCGCCGTTCGGAGGTCTAGGAGGTCTAGGAGGGCTCGGAGGGCCAGGCGAAGGTGGACTCTAGTCGTGTTTAGGAGCATGGTAACAAGAATGTCTTCATCATCACAATAAAACTATTCTGTTGTATAAAAATATAACATTTACATCTTCCTCACAAGGAGGATATCCAAAATGTATGAATCTAAGTCTTTCCTGTGACAGTTGGGATGCATTCATTACTTTTTAAACAACATGATCCTATGTGATACGGTACCAGGCGAAAGATGCTATAGGGGTTAATAAAGCGGGACTGACCTTGTGGTCGATTCGGCGTGAGTAGATTCGGGAGGGAGGGGCTTTCAATCGATTGTTCTCAATGGATATTGGTACCATCTGTTTTGAACTGGCCTCCCCAAAGATGGTAGAAACGATACTCGGGTTCAGCCTTCACATCTGGGTTATTTAACGTCTCATATCTAGAGCCGGGAGGGCAAAGTGCTCAGAATCTCCCTCCCTAAGCACGCTAGGGCTTCCATTCAGAGATTTTCGCAAAGACTTGGGAGGGTCGAACCCGGGTGATTCGAATCGCTATATCGAGACATATACCGACGAATGGACATCACGTCGAGGGACAATTAAGCGAACACGACCATGAATCGTAAGATTCATTCATAGAAGTGTCCGGAAATCAAAAGGCTTATGACGCCGGAAGGGTTACTGGGGAAAAGAAATTATTTTCTTAATTTCGGCTGTCTGGTTGCATGCTCCCGCTCATCTGTTCTCGTGTTATTAACTGAAATAGCGCCACTGTCATTTCACAATGAATCATGTCTGGGTCCAACATTTCTTCGCTCTTTGTACAAGGGCTGTTAAAAAAATTTGGGGAATGATTTCTTCCTGAGGTTACGATGCAACGTTTGTTTCTCTCTGATGAATGGCTATTGGGAGCAGTCTCCTTCAAAGTAGTTTCATTGGGCAGACACTGTCTAGCGCTCCTGCAAGGTCTCGAAGTACAGTGTGTTCCATAAATTAGCTTACCAAAGTATTTTAAGCTATTTTCGCTTTAATTAATTTAACTAATGTCGTGTGATAGTGTTTTTGTTGTTAATTGCCATTATCGTTAAAAGTCTTTATTTTCATTATAGGTCATTATTGGTGAAGGAAGACGCACGCTTAAAAATTTCTTCTTGAAATTTAAATTAATAACGAANTGTTAAAAAAATTTGGGGAATGATTTCTTCCTGAGGTTACGATGCAACGTTTGTTTCTCTCTGATGAATGGCTATTGGGAGCAGTCTCCTTCAAAGTAGTTTCATTGGGCAGACACTGTCTAGCGCTCCTGCAAGGTCTCGAAGTACAATGTGTTCCATAAATTAGTTTACCAAAGTATTTTAAGCTATTTTCGCTTTAATTAATTTAACTAATGTCGTGTGATAGTGTTTTTGTTGTTAATTGCCATTATCGTTAAAAGTCTTTATTTTCATTATAGGTCATTATTGGTGAAGGAAGACGCACGCTTAAAAATTTCTTCTTGAAATTTAAATTAATAACGAAGTTAATAAGAATTTAGCATAGCTGAAAACCCCCCGATAAACTGACTTATGGAACTGTATTACTTATAGTCCTTTTCGTAATCCCATGAAGCGCTCTCGTTGCGTTGTTCCTGATCGACTCAATGACTCCAAATCTCTTCCCTTTCGGGACATATTTCAACTTGGGGAAGAGGAAGAAGTCACGCCGAGCCAAATTCAACGAGTATTTTAGAAAAAAATGGTTCAGTTTTTATCCCCTAAAGGATGTTTCAACTGCAACTCATATTTATCCTTCGTTGGTTATATATTTAATCTTTTTGATAGGCTAAGTCAAAAATGCTTTTAAAAAGGTTAGCAAATTACCCGACCTGGATTAAAGTGTAACCTTCCTTAGAAAGACCCAATTAAGAAGGTGAGAGGCTCTCCTCCAGCTCTATTAAGTGTCCGTCAAACTAAGTACCCTTCTTTATCACCTAGTTGTATGGACGATAATTATGGAGAATGATTCGGAGACATATCCACTTAAGCTCTTCATGAGAACCATGTGAATGAAATTATTTCGTTAATGTACGGGCTACTGTTTGTGAAGACAAGCTACTTTTGGTCTAAAATCCAGGAATCTATCTCGAATTTGGGAATAATGAATAAGGAAGTTTCCGCTTTCACTACTACCTATGATGAGCCAAGGCGAAACACAGGACAAGGTCACATAATATACCCGTGAGGGAGATTCCCGGAAAATAGGGAAGGGCTATTCTATGTACTCTGGGAAACGATAACTCCATCTCCACCATACTACCTGTATTTATTTAAGCTGCTTATTTACGATGCCCACTGCAGCTACTTTGCGAACGTATTCACTGCTTATTCCGACCGAAAGGAATGTGAGTGAGTAAAATGCAGTTTCCGCTTGATATGAAGACGACAAGCCAATGGATTACGATTTGCATAACAAACCTACCAGCAGATGAATCTTGACTGTCAGTATCATCCGAAGCACTTGATTGGTCATCTCCTTCTGGATCTAACAAGGCCAAAAGGCTTGGAGGTAAAGGTTCACTTTCACTTCCACCTCCACCCGATGGTGCTGGCTTCCCACCTCCTCCTGGCTTTCCAGATCCACCTACAAGAAGGGATTTATGTCAGTGAACCAGGAAAGCAAGTCTCACAGAGCAGAGAAGGAAACGAGTTGCCAGAATAAAACCTTGTGATGGTGGTCTTGGCATTCCTGGTGGCAGATTGTCCGGCATCCCAGGAATTCCACCAGAACCAGAAGTTCCAGGTTTTCCAGGTTTCCCAGATCCACCTGAAAACCCAATGTTGTTGAACTATTAGATAAATAAATGACCATTAATTCATGGCGTTTTTCTGAACCTTCAAAGAGCAGGGGAAAACGTATTCCACTTGGTTGCCGTTAAAGTCCAGGGGATTGATACAACAAAGGGAAAACCAGATATGTTTATGAACATTCAACAGTTGCCCTTTTCAGATGGACGCCTGAAACTGCATAATACATTTTTTCCATCTGTGAACTTGTTGCATGACGCCAGCAATGAACCTTTACCTTTTCTTGGCACCACTAAGCGATACACTATATCTGCGTGTTATCTTTCGATAACAATTTGAGACCTGTATTGAGACACTTCATTTTAAAAAATAACCAGACATCTGAAGGTTCAAGAACAGGTAAAGGGGGGCAATGGTTAAAGATCCCACCTGCAGCTTGTGGATTGTCTCCATAGTAAGAACGGCGGTGCGTATTCTAGCATACTGTTTTAATGCCAGAATTCACAGGTGCATAAATCCGCAAACAGCGACATGAAATCCTAACCTATCATTCTTATTCTCCTCATCATGTCATGCCAGATTTCTGGTTCCTTCTAAGCATTGAAGCTCACAATGGCAGCTCATTTATTTTTACCGACACGTGATGCACGGACAGAAGGCAGCAGTTAGTGTTATGAATAACTCAAGGGATCTTTAATTTTGGAGTTCACTAGCAGGAAAATTGTTGTCTAATTGTATGGGACAATACTTAAAAGGATCACATAGAAACAAGAAAGCATTGCATGAAATAAGTAACAGTGAAATCATGAATTCTATCTGTTTGGAACTGAGGAATTGAAAGTACTTACCCGAGGGTGGTGTTGGAAACGAGTCTGGTTTTCCGCGACCTTCCAAAAGAGGACACAATAATTCAACATCTGTATGACATACACTATCATATAGTGAGCCGGCTTAATCCTTAAATTACCTACAACTTTCACATACGTTGAGTGCCATTTGGGTCATTAGTGACCCTGTAAGTAATATGAAGAAGTTAGGGACAAGTTTATTTATTTTGACTCAGCTATTGTTACAAATGTTACAGGATGACCTTTGAATGAGCCACATCAATAATTTCCCGCAGCTGGCGCAAGAGGTTGATTTCTTGAAATCGTTTTATCTGTCACAATATGTACACCGTCCCCGTTTCCTCAGATTTTCCGCTGGTTTCATTGGAATTTTCGCTCTCCTCTCTCTCTCTCTTGGCTTGCACGAGACTTTTGCCTAGCTCAAGAAGAAAAAGTCGCCGCCGATGAAAACTAATAGATTCCCAATCTCCCTTCAGGTGCATCCAGACGCTGAGGGTGCATACCTCGAGAATGCTGCATAAGATCACCATTAGCCATCGTGGAACCCTCCGTTTGGTGTTGTAAGTCCGGGTCATCCGGTCCATGGTGCTTACTCTTGACTTGGTCGAATTGTAATCCAGGATCATCAATGATTTCTTGCCTATGTTTCACAATTCTCAGCTTGAAAATGCATTGTACTAAGTACAACGACCTTCCATTTCTCTCACAATAGGAAATCAGCGTCGCTCCATCTTGGAAGGCGAAGACTGACAAATTTTCCTTTTTTTACCGCTGTCAATTTAGTTGGAAGCTCACTTCAATTCTTCCGAATCCTTTCAAGAAGGCTGATTTTGACAACTTTCAACCGTTGTGCTAGTGAAAGACTGGTGAAGAAATCGCACGTGAAATTCCGTCCCGATCTTTCCAGCCCTCACACCATATCCATGCCGACCCGCTATCCCGATTATACACTCTGACTTCCCCTTCATTGCGACCACAATAGACCTGCATTTTGTGTACAAAGTCGTACTGTCGCAAAAAAAGCCAATATTTTGATTCCATCTTACCGACCTTTGAAGGTATGTATTGCTTGGGACAGCGACCTCAGAAAGTGACCAGCTGTTCCTCGACTGTCAGGTTTTCATTTGGGATGCAACTATCTTGCGGCATTGATACCCATGTTTCAAATACAACTCTGATCGGCTGAGGTTTGTCCGTTGTTCTATGTCGACGTATAGCTTCAGCGACGTCAAACCGAAAGATACGAGCAATTCGTTTGAATCTCCGTTTTGAAATTGATTTAGCAAAGATCTGTCTGTCCCTTTGATTCCACAACTGTATGATCGTTTCATTGTGAGCCTTGCTGACGCCAGCAATGATGTGCAAGCTGATGAAGCAATCGAGTTCACAATTGATGCCTAATAATCGCTGTCAGAATCATCTTCCGAAGGCAGGTCCTCTCGAAGAATGTTCGCGATATTCGTGGCAAGCCTTCCAGCCATCATGTGATAAGAAACTTGTCCAGCAGGCAAATGCAACTTACAACGTATAATTTACATTATTTACAATTTCCAACGCTGAACAAAGAATATATACCCAATGGAGCATTCTAGACTGGAAGACCAAATTTGATTCATATACGAGGTGTGATTTGATTCACCATTTTTGTGAGCTGGAGTCTTGGAGTTACTTTCTGGGGTCACTTTGAAAGCAGTACCCTTAGGAGTCCACACATCTCTGTCAGCAGCCCTGCAGCTTCTGAAAGCACCTCATAAAGCCTTCTTTTGGAATGGCTAGAAGTTCAAACGTCGCATTTGTTTGGACAGTCTGGATGTCCTCAAATCTTCGGCCTTTCAGATGTATTTTCAGATTATGGAACAGGAAAAAATCATACGGAGCCATATTTGGCAAATAAGGCGGGTGTTCGAGCTCTGTGGTGTTGCATCTGAAAGGTCAAAAATTTGAGGACATCAGACTATCCAAACAAATGCGACGCGTGAACTTCTAACCATTCCAAAGGAGGGCTTCACGAGGTGCTTCGAGAAGCTGCAGGACTTCTGGCAAAGGTGTGTGGACTCCCAAGGGGACTACTTTGAAAGTGACCCCAGCAAGTAATTCCAGGACCCCAACCCACAAAAAATGGTAAGTCATGTTCTCAGACTTTTGGATCAAAACTAGTGTATCCTATACTCCAGAATATCCAAGACCGTCTCATACCAAGAAGTTCCAGACGATTCAAATCTCAAGATAAGCAAAACATCAAGTTTCCAAGTTCACTTATTCCTAGTGGTCATTATGAACTCCATGAGTGAACTTAACCTTGCAGCTGCAGAGAAACAACAGAATTCTACCCCTTTTCATACTCGGATACCTATGACACGAAATGGTACTCAACTCCAGTCATGATTTTTTCTTAAGTATGCCATCAGTACATAACCGTTTCCAATTTATACACGTATTCTAGTTCCATAAAGGGACAAAGTCAAGGAATACCTGACACCCTGTCAGAGCGAAGATATAGCACATCAAATATTGTTTGGGGTCACTATGGAGCCCAAACTTATAGTGCAGTACTTATAGTGGCAATCATGAAAAAGGTTTAATTTTCTATGCCAGTACTGTTCCATTTCATGAAAATATATAAAGTATTTACATATAATATTAGTGACTAGTTTCACTTTTCAAAACGACCACTTAGTTTTGATTTTCTCAACTAAAAATATAACCAGCCAATTCACTAGATACGTCTAGTTTGAAAATAAATTTCACAATTTCTTATATTTTAATTCAGACAGTTTAATTCAGTGTTAAAAAATACGTACATGCGGGAAAGGGATTTCATTTTTCAAAGTTCAGTAGAAATTTTAACAATTTAAGTAATTGAACAATTCTTAAAATATTTAAAAGTTTCATTTATATTATTGTAGAACTATTCTTGGAAATTTCATTCCTTAGGAAAAATTCTTATTTATGTTCCTTTGGATTTTATAGAGTGCAACAACTTCATAAATGCTGAAATATGTTTACTTAAGTTATTCGATTTCCCTTCGGTAAAAGATTGACCGCACGAACTGGAAGCAATGAGAGGAAATCCAATGTACTGGAATATAACTACAAAACTGGAAATAACTTTGTTTACAAGTAGCCATGATACCAAGGAACCTGAAGCGATATGTTTTAGTATAATGTTCGACAAATTCTTTAAGAATGCTACAAAAAATGCTGAAAATACATCGAGGAAGGTCAATGGTATTGTACCACGGGTCTCAGAAGGCTAAAGATGCAGGATTTTTTGGATGTCACCAAGTGGGAACACGAAGTAGAGAGCTCAGAATAAAAAAAGACGCCATGACGCCTATCACTTTCATGTGGTTTAAATGTATTTTGAGTAGAGGTTCCTGATTATCGTATTCTCTCACCTGTGGGCATATTAACTCCGGGAGGGGGTGTTCCAAACATTTCTGCAAATCCAGGCGGCAAGCCTCCAGATCCTCCCGAGCCTCCCGGTCCGTTTCCACCTGAGATCAGCACAAATCCTCGTACCATTGTTCTTACAGAAGTAGTGGTGTTATGAAGTAATGTGAAAACCAATTTTCAATCGCTTTCCCTTTCTTCACCCAGGCCTCTCTACGGGACTCACTGACGTTAGGCCTAGGCCTAACCAACAGACTGCCTTCAGGTCACGCCAAGGCCTACCTTTTCCTTTTCAAAAGAAACTCAATTCTCGACTTACGGCGCCAATTAGGCCTGTGAGGATGAATCGTGGTCTTCGAGACATCTGGTTAAGGACGTGGAACGTTAGGCCAATCGCAGACCTATTCATACGTTCATGAACCATTGCAGAGAGGACGTGTAACGTTAGACCGATTGGAGGCCTGTTTCGCGTTTCATGAGCCATTTCAATGGGACATGGAACGTTAGGCCTATCACGAGTTCCTCGAACCATCTCGAATAGGTCTGAGGAGAGAATGCCCTCAAACAGCATGGAATCCATGATACGCGCCATCCTGTTAATTGAGGGGTGACCGGATAAGATATCTGCATATCCCACCACATCGATCAATAACAGCTAACCACCGCTTCATTCTCAACTCTTCTCATGAAATCAGCATAAACATGTCTCATACATTAAAAAACAGAAGATCCAGAGCCTATACGATGGTTGAAACAGTCTTGAATCTGGCATAATTTCGGCACGGTATCCGGCAACATTGGGGGACGGTACCGGAGGAAGCACTCTAAGCCTAATTGAACGACAGCTAATTTCCTTTTTCGTGGCGAAATGGAGCATCGCAAACAGCAAAAAACCACTTTTCGTCATCTACGAGTCAATATCTTTCTTATGGTTGGTCTATTTCCTCCGAAAACCCCCCAGGAGTGGCTACCCAGGGGGGGGAGAAAAAAAAACGGAATGAAATTCACATCCTCCAAAAACGAGATTCAGCGTTCTCCATAACCCCGGGGAGATGGAGCTTCAAATTTGCTGGAGCGATTCTGTGGTGAGAGAGGAAGAAGTATGCCAAATTTCTTTCCTGTTGATGGTCTCAGAGAGAAATACGGGGAGGTTGAATTTTGCGGCGGGAAGGGGTGGAAGAAAGGTAATAGGCGCTACTGTGCCTATTGATAAACTCACATCTCACAAAAATATGAGTTCGTCCTTCCCAGAGACAAGAATTAAGGGTCAACTGTGAATCTACTTTGATTGCTAGATTTCCTTCGCTATTTCGATACTGCAGCTAAAAGAACTGAAGGGATGGCCATTTAAGAAGAGCAGTCCCAGCAATTATCATTTCTAACGCAGCACAGTCCGTGCACCTTACTTATTGACAGTTTTTCCGATATACTACATAGCCAAAATGAGGAAAAGGGTGACGCAACCCGAGGATGTTGCCTTTCACTGTGACCTTCTGACCGGAGGAATGTTGGCAAAAGGTTCAACCTCCGACTTATATGAGCATGAGACAAGGCACATGGGTAAATAATGATGAACCTCACTTTGAGAGTACGCAATACTGGCAGAGACTGTGAAAGAATGTGTGTGTGAGATGTGAAAAGGATATAGGGAAAACTGTGTAAATGAAGAATGCTCTGTGAGGTAGCGATCAGTGGTCGAAGTGTAGGAAAGAGTAGCCCACTCTTGATCTAACCCAATCCACTTTACCGTCTTCCTGTGTATGAGTTTGCAAGAACTTTTTAAGGAAAAAAAGCCTGACAAATGTCGCATATGCAGCATTTGTGAGTTTTGGTCAAAATCAGGTGATTTAAACACCCGTTGAAGTACAGGGTGGGCCAAAAAAAACGTGGGTTATTTTGAAAATTGAAAATTTTTTCTATTCAATGCCCGCAAAAGTACGAGGGTGAGTCAAAAAGTAACAGGACATCTGCGATCGTAACGCAGGAAATACTGTATAACTTGCAACGTATTTCGCACATAGTACTGCTTGTTAGAATATCAGCGCCGTGAAAATGGTGATTTTTGGCTTTGCTGCCGTCTCGTGTGTTACGAAAAATGGCGGCTTAGGATCTTGATTGCACCAAGGAAGAGTTGTGTTTCCTGATCCGTTTTTTTGTCGAAGATGGTGTGAATGTCAATTAAATGTATCGCAGACTCAGGGCAGTTTAGGACGAGAAGTGTATTTCAAGAAGCGATGCTTATGAGTGGGTGCAAAAGTTTCAAGGTGGAATAGCTAGTGTTGCAGACGCGGCTGAGTCGGGTACGCAATACGAGCTTCGGGACGTTGATCCGAGGTTTCTGGAGGTCCGTGGAAGTCACATCGGGTATTGATGTAGGAATAGGTACCTGGGATATTCTTGACCATGTGTGATGTAATTAAATACCTATATTCATGTTAATATTATCTCTATCTTTATTTTAGAGGGTCAGAAACTTTTGGAACACCCACTGTAACCATGGAGGTGTAAACTCTGCTCGAGCGGTTATTCAGTAATAATGTAATAATGTAAATGTTTTCGTAATAATTGAGCTTTCACCATCGGGGTTATTTAACATCTTACATCTATAGATGGGAGAGCAAAGTGCTCAGGGGTCTCCCTTACAAGGCACGCTAGGGCTTCCACTCAGATTTTATCGCATGACTTGCTTGAGTCAACCAGGGACCGATGTCAAGTCAAGCTGATAACAAATCAATCCACTTACCAGCCTCAAAAGTCTTCAAAAGAAAAAACAGTTATATGAGACGACTGTACGTAAAATCCACAATGAGTGAAAGGGCATTTCGGTCTGAAAGTGCGTTTCTACCTGTATTTATTTAAGCAGCTTATTTACGATACCCACTGCAGCTACTTTGCGAAAGTGTTCATTGCTTATTCCGACCGAAAGGAATGTGAATGAGTAAAATGCAGTTTCCGCTTGATATGAAGACGACAAGCCCTTTTAAATGGGACTAAATGGGAAGTGGATTACAATTTGCATAACAAACCTACCAGAAGATGAATCTTGACTGTCAGTATAATCCGAAGCACTTGATTGGTCATCTTCTTCTGGGTGCGATGGTGCTGGCTTCCCACCTCCTCCTGGCTTTCCAGATCCACCTACAAGAGGGGATTTATGTCAGTGAACCAGGAAAGCAAGTCTCACAGAGCAGAGAAGGAAACGAATTGCCAGAATAAAACCTTGTGATGGTGGTCTTGGCATTCCTGGTGGCAGATTGTCCGGCATCCCAGGAATTCCACCAGAACCAGAAGTTCCAGGTTTTCCAGGTTTCCCAGATCCACCTGAAAACCCAATGTTGTTGAACTATTAGAGAAATAAATAACAATTAACCAATTAATAATTCATTTTCGACCTTCCGGACCTTCAAAGAGTAGGGGAAAACGTATTCACTTGGTTGCTATTAAAGTCCTGGGAATTGTTACTACAGAGGGAAAACCAGATACAGGGTATGTTGATGAATATTCAACAGGTGCCCTTTTCAGATGGACGCCTGAAACTGCACAATACAATTTTTTCATCTGTGAACTTGTTGCATGACGCCAGCAATGAAGGCTTCTTGGCATCGCTAAAACGATACGCTTTATCTGCGTATTAGGGCAAATCTGTTAATTCCGCAAGCCTTACTTCTTCCATGCCTGTTCGCTCAAGAGCGAAGTTATTAGTTTTCAGGCCCTTACACTTTGGTAATGATGGATAATACTTCTTCCCATGTTCAGAATTACTAGGAATTCAGGTATAAAGTACAAGAAAAAGACAACCTAACGAAGTGAGAAAGGCCGTCTCCGAGACTCCCCATGACAAGTAAAGGGTGTCTTTTGTCTTTTCCCTGGGTATTTTTTTTCGGCGATGGAAAGTGGGGGCCTCAAGACGTGTTTAAAAGGGGAAGGACCTCTAACGTATGCCGTAAATTAATCCTGGTGATATTATTTTATTTCAAGACAGTGGGTGGATTGCATAAAACTGACTTTAACGTAATGGAAGTTTAAACCTCCTTTAGCGGTGTTAATGGAAATTGAAAGCTTCATTGCGCTAAAGTCAGTTTTATACAATCCACCGTGAAATTATCATACTCTCCAATTCCAATTTTGAAACATAATTTGTCAATCCTCTTCTATTATCATTTATGGTTGTTCGTGGCACTCCGAACTTGACTTGACTCCAGACTTTGTGGCGTTAATTGTCGCGTCTTGATCTTCCAGCAAATGCTTATTGCTTGTCCTGTCCTTCTTGCTGAATGTTTTTGGCTATTTCCTTCGTCCTCTGGCTCTCGCTGCTTTTTTGGTTTTACCTTTGGGGTTTTTCCTTTCTTTGCAGAAGGCAATATCCCAACTTATTATAGGTAAGTGTGAATTGGAAGTCGGATGCGACCTGCGAAATTGCGAAATTAAAAACCTTGCCGTCAGGAGAATACAGGAAATGTCCCTGCAAGAAGTTACGGAATTTACCAATGGTTCATTTTCCGATCGGGCAATTCCGGAACGTCTGCACTGATGATATTTAAGCAGTTATGCATGTCGATCACCTCTTTCTCGGTTCTAAAACTATCAAAGGACTGAATGGAGGTGCAATCTACATTGCCATATGCCCTAAAATATTTTTATAGATAATGTTCGACTCGTGTCGATCAATCAGACTCTCGCTATAGAGCACAGTATTCAGCGAGGAGGAGCACCTTGCTTCCGTTGTCCACACGACGTTGTTATTTGCCCAGTTGAGATGAAAGAGCTGTGATCGCAGTGATGTCACAGCACTTATGGCACTATCCATTATACTAGATATGGTACCGATTGAGGTTCTTACAGGGAAATGATACAGCGGAAAAGTGACATGTTACGGAATTACCCTCCAGTTTCACGAGTGTTGAGGAATTCCCAGATTTGCCCTATCTTTCGGTTACAACTTCAGACCTGTATTGAGACGCTCATTTGCTTAAAGAACCAACATTCTGAATTTACCAGAAAAAGCAAATGAGTGGAATGGTTATGGACGCCATTTTCAGTTTGTGGATTGTTTCTATAGCAAGAAAAGCGATGCCTGAATCCACCTGGCGCATAAATCCGCAAACAGTGGCATGAAGTTCTGACCCATCTCTTTTTTCTCCTCATGTCAGATTTCTGGCTCCTTCTAGCTCTGAAGCTCACAATGGTAGTTCATTTATTTTTACCGACACATGATGCACGGACAGAGGACAGCAGTAAGGTTATGAATAACCCAAGGGATCTTTAATTTTGGAGTCGAAAAGTGGGTTCACTAGAGGGAAAATGTCTGCCTAATTGTAGGGGAAAACATTGAAAGGGACCACATGGGAAACAAGAGAGCATTCAATGGAATAAGCAACTGTGGAATCACGAATACTTTCTGTTATAAACTGAGCAATTGAAAGCACTTACCCGCGGGTGGTGTTGGAAACGAGTCTGGTCTTCCCCGACCTTCCGAAAGAATACATGATAATTCAGCATTTGTATGACAGACTCCATTGTTCAGGGTGGGGGAAAAAAGGTAAGTGAAATTTGATTTTCATTCCTTTTCATTTCAGGTTATTGCAACTGAACGTAAAGGCATTTGCATTCAGTGTAGGAGCGAGTAAGAATAGTAGAGCATTATATTTGTAGTTTTAGTGGTGGTAGGAATGATGAACCATCTTAGGAAATTGTGAAAATAGGTTTTCAAGATAATTTCGAAGAAGATGCTCCACCAGATGAAAATATATTGTTCATTTATTAATTGTTTTCTCAAATTGGATTGGTGTGCAAGCAGAATGCTGGAAAATCGGGCCGTAAGCGCATGAGCACACTGGGAGAATTGTGGATAAGATGCTGAGGTCGCCACGTAAAAGCAAACGTCGAATATCCAAGGAACTGATAATTCAAGCTGGATTGAGGTAAGTCGTAGGCCCAAGGAACGAAAGGTACAAGATGACACCTGCGAAAAGAGCACTGACTACCACAGAATATAATACTTTGTGGTATATGTGTCTGTTAAGGCTACTGCATCCAAACTGCTGAATACAAAGAGCTGGTTTTTTTTTTTAAACTGAATCCTGAGCATTCAAGGACTTGTCCTTCTCATAGGATAAAACTTGCTATGATCTATCATTTTTTATTTTCACGAAGAACTCGAATTTTCTCGAAAGAACACGAATTTTGCAGTGGGAGAAAAATGTTACCCATCACGGCCTCTAACGTAGTGGATGCTATTGAATGCACATCGACTGTGAGAATTTAAATGTCCATGGGCTCGGTGCAATCAGTGCACGAGGTCAAGGGTTATAGGTAAAGGAATGCTATGAAATGATTCAGCTGCAGCCCTACCACCTGGCATTTGCTTGAATAAACAAAGTTTTCACCATAAATACCTCGTAGAGCGATGGCGAATGAATCGCCGTTAAGAGTCATCCTCAGTGAGTGCCAGAACGACTCACGGGAGATCCCATTTGAGCTTCGTGGAGATAAAAAAAATGTGTTTGCTTCCCGTGGGGTGATTTTTCGCAAAAAGAAAACGTCAATCGTATTTCCATTTTTAACACAAATTTCCGGTCTATGAAGTACGTGGTACCGTAATGGTAACGATATCTTGTGCCTCGATTTGGAATAGCTGCTAGATATTAAGGCCCAAGTGCAGAAAGTCGTTCACATAATCGTAATGTCGATACAGAAAATAAAGGTGAGTGTAGGGTGTGCTGGCTCCCCTTACTATCAGATGGGTGAATGTGAGTACCGTCGGGGAATGCATTAGTCCTTTCATCTGAAACTCTGAACTCATCCTCACCCCACTTTGCTCACCCACCTCGGTCATGCTTACCCCTGCCGAAGGAATGACCCCTTCGGGTTAATCCTCGCCCCAGGGGGTGCTCGGGCTCAACTACAAAAGCAGGGTCGGATTAATTCATTAATTAATTAAGGAGGCAGAACACGCACCACCTCATGGCCAAATCTTGCGAAGGAGGGAAGTAACCGAGGATTAAATTTTGTCTTCTCCTTATTTCGTTCTTCATCATGTGCAATGGTTTGGTTTAACCGAGGCTCCTCCAGGCCTGTGCATTGTTCGCCTATTCAGTAATCTAACTGGGTAAACTTTAAAAAGTGAATATGGGACCTGCTGTCTAGTCATGCGTGGGAGAAAAGGCAGGGGAAAGAAAGGAAAATCTTCCTATAGGGAACTACATTCCAATTGAAGGGGTGCCCTGATGAGAAGGGCGACTTTAAAACGCATTTCAGTGGCATCCTTTTTAACCGCCCTTTAATAAGCATGTAATCCTTCTGTCCTTTCGCTTTCACTGGTCGAAGCAGCTGGCTATTCATGTAGAGGTAAGGTTACCATTGCCGATGTAAGATAGCACCTCAGTCGCCTGTAGAGAAGCTAAGCCACGCCTCTCAGATTTCTTCCAGTATCCTTTTTTTTTCCTTCTTACAGCGAAGAGGAACACATTGGAATCCCAAAATATTATTATCTAAAGATGGTTTCTTGCTTTTCTGACCAGGAGGCCATTACCGGGCTTTCGGTCGTCTTCTTGATGACATTAGCTGGGTAAATTCTTGATGAACTAGCATTCACAGGAGGACCACATGAAGGTTGTCCAGGTTGCGAGACCCGGACACAGCAACAGCACTACTGGACTCCCTAGACGAAGGCAGATTATCACCCTGGCGAGAAGTCACGGAACATCTTGACTTCTCGCATTCTAGCAGGAAGCCTTGGAACCTGCTCAGCCGCCTTGGTGCTGCTTCAATGCCTCCTCCAGAGCCGCCAATGGTAAGTGCCGACGCCGTTGCGGCCTACCTTAAAGCCAATTCAAAAGCCCCGACCACTACCGAAAACAAGCGTAGAGTAAAAAAACTATTGATATTTAACCTTTCTGTACAAAAGGCTGCACAGCACACAATCTTCTCTACGGCATTCACTGCGGAAGAAGTGGACAACGCGCTTTCAGACACCAAATCTGGGAAAGCCGTCGGGACCGACAGCATCTACCCAGAATTCCTCAAGAACCTGGGATCCAATGGGCGAAGCTATCGGCAAAATTCGCCTCCAATGTCCTCGACACCGGAAAAATCCCGGAGGTTTGGCGACACACTAAAGTGGTCGCAATCTTGAAGCCAGGAAGTCCGGCCACAGACCTGGAGAGCTATCGCCCTGCTATCAACTGCCTACAAATTAGTCGATCGGCTCATCCTGAACTGCATGAAACCGACCTTGGAAGCCGCTCTCCCAATAGAACAGGCAGGCTTCAAATAAGGACGAATCAGCTCAGACCAGGTTCTTGCCCTCATCACCAACATCGAGGCAGGCTTCCAGGAGCAGTTGAAGACCGTCATTGCCTTCATAGACTTGTCTTTGGCCTACGACACGGTCTGGCACGAAGGCTTGCCGCTGAAACTCTCAGACATCAACCAATGCCGAAAGGTGCTCAGACTCACCAACGCCCAAACGAGCAACCGCAAGCTCCGCGTCTACCTCGGCGACAAGATCAGCCGAACTCGCACGCTCAACAACGGGCTCCCGCAGAGCTCGGTGCTTGCACCGGCTCTATTTAATATCTACGCCGCGGACACGTTCATCACGATATCTCGCAAATTCAAAAAACAAATAAAAACATTGGCTGAAGCAAACCGGACATTGACAAGCGACCATGAGCTTCTCGAAAGCTACTATCGAAACTGGCGCCTCCGCCCCAACTCAGAAAAGACGGTTGTGTCCACGTTCCACCTGAACATCAGCGCTGCGGCTCAGCAACTCAACGTCTTCTGTGGTGGACGCCTCAAACACGAGCCCGAGCAGAAATACCTGGGCGTTACTCTGGACAGGCTCACATTCCGGCCTCACCTTACCAACACCGGTCAAAAAGTGAAAACCAGGGTAAACCTGGTTAAAAAAAAAAAAACTTGCTGGAACATAATGGGGCAGCACGACCAGAACGCTTCGAACCGCAACAGTTGCGATAGTACATTCTGCTGCCGAATACACGTGCTGTTCTGCCGCATGGTCCCGCAGCCGCCACACGAAGTTTGTAGACGTGCTGCTAAACGCTTTTTGAGGACTGTGTTTAGGACTCTCAAGTCCACTCCGACAGTGGCGGCTTGCCGGCGCTGTCACATATCGCCCCACCTGCCACACGACGCTATGTAGCCATACTATGCGGGATGGAAAAAATCACAAAACAACCCAGACCTTCCAATCCATCAAGACCTGAAGCATCCTCCACGAACGCGCTTAAAATCGCGCAGACCGTTCTGGGAAACTGCAGCCAACATCCGCGCTGCTGATGGTGACCCGCTATCCAGATGAAAAGCAGCATGGGATGGATGCGGCATCAAGAACCACCATCTCGTCACCGACCCCACCGCAGAGGTCCCTGCACTCTTAGCTATGTTACTCTGAAAATGGGGCAACAAAATTTTGTAATTTGTTACTCTTGAACAGGTCGTTGTGATGTGCTCGATGGTCTGGGACTCGTGTCCACAGTCGCACTTGGTCATCGCGCATCTTCCACTTTTGGAGCAGGTGACTGCATCGGCTGTGTCCTGTACGGATTCGATCGAGCGAAAAATTAATTTTTTTTTTCACTGGATTACTCATTAAAATGAATACCTACGCCCTGAACCTCATCAACATTTCCGAGAATTATAACATCAAGAGGAACTTCAACATCATTATCCAGTTCAAGGGAAATTTGCCACAGGAGATGTTGATGGAGTACAGAGGGTTGATTTCCTTTTACATGAACACACTAGTGCATCAAAAAAATTTCATTCCAAGTTTGTAACCTTTTATCTGCGATTTTCCACTATGTTACTCCGTAGGTTACTCCTATTCAATAGTAAAAAGTTACACGANCAAGTTTGTAACCTTTTATCTGCGATTTTCCACTATGTTACTCCGTAGGTTACTCCTATTCAATAGTAAAAAGTTACACGACTTTGTTACCCATTTTTAGAGTAAAAAGCTAAGAGTGTGGCTACGACCTAACCCTCAGGCAATGGACAAGCGAGCTAGCTTAGGCATGTCCTGTGTCGGCTACGTCAGTGGACGAGGTTTTCACCTTCTACGCGCTACTGGTTCACGCTGACACCTGTGCTCAGGGTCTGGTAGCTCGTGTAGTGTTGCTGGACACCGTTAAGGTCTGTTACCGGAGGCCTTCACTCAGCATCTGAGGAAGCCATCGCGTGGATCTCCAAATAAGACATCCAATTTTAATCTTGCTTTTCGAACGTCATACGATAGAATAATTATCTAAAGATGAAAGCCAGCCCAGGGAGACGTCTGGCAGTACTGACCCTAAGGAAGGAAGAAGAGGAATTCAGACCTGAACACAAATCCAAGACGCCAGCATAGTAAAAGTTCGGAAGTGGGCTCCCACGAAGGAACAAATCTTGAAACCCGTTCTATTAGCATGTCTCCTTGTGAGGGGATAAGATCACATATGCATAGGCGCGTGCTAGGCACATAGCGCGACACAATGGATGGGGAGATGGAACAAATTCTGACCTAACCAATCACGTATCCATCCACAAGAGAGCACACTAACCTGAACCAACAAATCTTTTTGGACATCTATCACGCGATAATTGATAAGCATTCCATTTCCATGGTAAAACATTGAACCATATCAACAATACATTATTAGTACTGGAATTACAGCATTACGATATGCGTTTCCAATAAGGAAGGATTGCGTTACTCATGAAGGGTGAGAATGAATCTTCCAAGGGAGAGTACGGAATACCAGGGGTGAGAATGGAGAGTGACCTTGAATGCATCTCCCGGGGGAAGGTATGGGGTGGTTAAAAAAGAACGCTCTACCGTTTTCTATGGGAGAAGCACAGTTTCATAAATGTAGCAAAAAAATTACATTGGATACGCGATCCATATTTGACGGTTACAAGGCGTTGAAATGCTTGGCAGTTTTTTTTTCAGCACCCCTACCTAAGTCGTGCAATGCCCATTAAGAGGTGAATTAAAGGTGCTTAGAGGTGAATCATTCCACCTTAAGTGATGTGATTACCTGTGATTAAGTGACCAAGGGTGATTAACAAAAGCTTCACTGTCTTCAAAGGGAGAAAGTACGATTCGTGTATTCGAGTAAAAAAGATGAGATTCATAAACTCCTGATATTGGACATAGAGGAGGTGTTGAAAAGATTGTCTTGTTTTTTCCTGAGCAATTCTCTGAGCCATGCATTGTCCTGTTACACAGTTTATAGGTGAAGTATTAAACCTTTTTTAAATCACCCTCGGTCACCCAGTCAACAGCAGCGCCATCGGGATACAGCGCCATCTTGCAGAAGTGAAACAAAAACCTCTAAGACTCATGAACCTCTCCTTCAAGTATCAGCTGGATCCAACAGTCGCTTGAAAAGTTATTGTTGAAAAATTCATTGAGTTCTGAGACGGACGGGCACAGGTAATCACTTCACTTGAGGTGGAATGATCCACCTCTAAGCACCTTTAATACATCTCTAAATGGGCATTGCACGACTTAGGCAGGAGTGCTGAAAAAACGCTGGCAAGCATTTCAACTCCTTGTAACCCTCAAATAAGGATCGCTTATCCAATGTAATTATTTTGCTACATTTATGAAACTGTTTCTCCCATAGAAAACTGTAGAGCATTTTTTAAAACTACCCTATATATCGCCGGGGGGCGATGCCGAGGGGCGTGTGCTGCTCGTAAATAAATTGATGTTGTCTTGAAAAGAGGGTAAGGCATTTCCACCTGAGGGTGGCCATGAAACCACCAGGGTAGCTGTCCAGTGACAAAACATGCACACCCTTAAGAGTGCGGGATCTCACCTCTATT